AATCACCCACACATCACCCAACAAGTGAACCCTCCCCCTCCCGTTTCGTCACGTTTTCCGGAAAAGCAAGTGGAGCGTACGAAAATGCGTGCTGACAAGACGCTGAGAAGCTGACAAGACCGGTGGATAAGAACTGCAAGAAATGCAAGTGTGTGAATGTCGCTCACCTGCAGGTGAGCGACATTCCATTCGTATAGGGCTGTAAAGGTGTGAATTTTTCCTGGAAATTTCACACGTTTACCCCCCTAAGTGTACGAATGGCATGTCGCTCACCTGCAGGTGAGCGACATTCACACACTTGCATTTCCAGTGTAAGTGTCGTAAGTCACCTTATAAGCTAAAATTAACTGATAGCACAAAAACAATTTTTGAACTGGATTAAGTACAGGCCAAGAATTCTACCGTGGATTACAAAAGTAAACTACATATCATACAGATTATAGGAACCGTTTTTTCCTTCTACTGAAAAATTGAACTCTTTGACTTTCGTCACTTCTATGGACTACCCCAGATATGTCGTCATATATAAAGCATATATCGCTGTATATGATCATGTACAAATCATATATGGCCATATACAACCCCATTTCTGGGATGCTGTTTCCAGCGCTGCACTTGGTTTTCAACTGCGCGAGGTCAATTGGCCCCGTTTGCAACTGCGCTAGTTTGTAAACCGCGCGTGTTCTGCACGTGCGCGTGCCCAGCAACTGCGCGATGTCAATTTGAACCGTTTGTAACTGCGCGAGGTTTTCAGCTGCGCGACGTCTGCAGCTCCGCGATGGCCGTTTTGTGCTCTTTGCAAGTGCGCGATGTTTGCAACTGCACGTGGCCAGCAACTGCATTTACTTTGCAATTACAATCTCAGCCGGTTACTGACATTTTGCAAATACACAATGAACTCGCTTATACAGCACTAATACTAAAAAAATTGCACGTAATAATTACAAATTTAGTAAGTAATACTAATTATTTTTTAGCAAGTACTTAGGATGATCTGCTTAAGTAGTTATTAACAAAATAATCAGTTTTACTTACTAAATTTGTGAGTATTACGTGCAATTTTGTTAGTATTACTGCTGTATAAGCGAGTTCATTGTGTATTTGCAAAATGTCAGTAACCGGCTGAGATTGTAATTCCCAAGTAAATGATTCGTAGTTACGAAGGATCTAAATACTTCGCATTTCTGCAAAGCGTTGATGTGCAAGAAGTTCACAATGTAAAGGTGAACAGAGTTGCTCAACACTTTCGTTGAACACTTAGAATAGTCCCGGCTTAGGTTATCTAGTGGTAGAAAACGCTAATTTCGACTAGTTTGTAGCGGTTCCACTAGTTACTTTCTTAGTTTAAGCGATTTCTGTTGATTTTGATTAATTTTGATCCTGATGATTCCCGGAGTTATTGCCTTCTCGTGTGCAACGTTGTGTTAATTGACAACTCGCACCGCACATGCACGCCAGTTGCACACTTAAATAGCACAAAACGAGAGCGATTGGAGGCAAGTGAACTTACATCATTCCAGGCACAGAATCCTTTCATTTCCTCGCCATCCTTGAATTCTACCTCCATTTGTCGACATTGCCCTTGAAATTCCAGGATGCCAAGTAGCCTCGTGAGTTGCGGTAGCTCCTGATCGCATTGCAGGGCTGTCCTCTTCAGACTCTGAGTCGCTGCCTCCCACGCTGCCTGGTTTCCACTTGATTCAAGCACGCTCTGAGGATGAAAACAAGGTGAAACTAAAGTTAACATTCAAATGTGAACTATTCTGCCATAAACGCTCCGGTACAACGTGAAAGTGTATGTATGCTGAAGAGTCCATTCCCATCCTAGCTCATACAGAATAAATGATCATTTGAGTGGCGAGCATTAGAGAGCTGCGGGTGTATGGTGGCATTGGGTAATAGTATAAATGGTATAAATCTTAATGGGGTGACCCCTAAGATACCCTAAAATTTTAGACCTCTAGCTCATCTCCTTCCTCTTACACGGACGACAGACAGTCAGACAGTGTAAAATTAATTTGTAGAGCTAAAGGTCTACAAAGATTACAGAATCTTAGGGGTCACTCCTGGACACCGAAACGCCTGCACACTAAATGGAAAAGGAAAATTTTTCATCTAGGAAGAGATGCATTCTTAAGCACATCAGGGTTCATACCAGATCCCAATTTCTATTTTCCCTGACTTTTCCCTGACTTCCAGACCAAAATATTCCGTTTTCCCCTGACTTTCCTAAGTAAAATAGGTCAATGTAGTAGAAAAACAGTAAAAACAGGAAAATAAATTTCTTACTACTGAAAAATATTAAGAATAATGAAAATCAGAATATTGGTAAAAGAATCGACTAAGGTGGCGTACATGCCCGCGAGCGTAGCGAGCGACAGTTCTTTTTAACTCTAAATCTGCAGTTTATGTTATCTTTGGTGAAACTACCTGGGCCATGGCCAGTATTTGCCCCCACTGAAAAGTTTTCCTTGACCCAAATTAAATTTCCCTCACTTTTCCCAGACTTCCAGACACCTTTTTTTTTTCTCCCTGACTTTTCCCTTGCTTTCCCTGACTTCCCTGACCGGAATGAGCCCTGGCACATCTCTAGGAGATGCAAATTTGCACGGAAATAAGACAGGAATAAGTGAGGAATTTGCATCTTAAGAATGGACAAAAAATAAATTGCCCAAAAAAAGGATGCTAATTTAAAGGATGCATGAAAAAAAAGGGTGGATTCAAATCTGATCCGGTTGAGATGTGTCGAAAACGCGTCTTTTGTAAGAACAGTCCTCTCAGATTTATAGTGTAGAACCCGTAGACAAAACATTTGGTCCGTTTTTGGCTCTATCTTTGACCGGTTCGGCGCTAGAGATTATTTCGACGAAAATGTGGTGAAAATGACCACGCTTAACAGAAAGGCGAACAAGAAGGCGTCAGTGTCCATAGAATGATGCAGTTTTGTGCACACCTCAACCAGATGCAAATTTGAATCTGATCAGGGAGAAATGTGCATCAGACTGATGAACAAGTACCGCCGGCAGGCCAAGCTGTATATAGCTTGAGCCTAAGGCTCGGCCCCTGCCGAACGGAGTTGCCTTGCGAGGCTAAGTGAAGCTGGCAACTTCGTTTTGCAGAAGGGCAGGCCTTGCTTGTTTGTTCATCAGTCTGGTGCACGTTTGTCCCTAATCAGATCTAAATTTGCTCCCAGTTGAGTTGTGCATTAGCATTGCGCCATCGATAACACTCAATATTTGCTACGTTTTCGCACAAACTCGGTCGCCGTTTGACGAATATTTAGCTACAGCTAAAATACTGCTTTTCACTTAGGCGTTACGCCCACCGTAACGTGACGTCGCGTGGTACCGGTGACATGCGACCAACCTCAAGTACCTACCCTAGGGTGTCTGTAGACAGCAAGTACCCGGCCTCGGCCGCACGTCCGCGGCGCGGCAGGGGAAAAACCATGTCGGAGGAAAAATTGGCGCGAAAGTGACAGGCCTAAAATCAATTTTTGCGCATGGTTCCCGACATTGCGCCCTCAGCGCGACGTCGTTGGAAACTCCTCGACGGCTTGTGCTTGTGAGTCTGTGAGGGAAGTCCTGTCGTATCGCGCAAATGCAAGTCTGATGTGTTGTGCTTGTGTCAGTTCATTAGGCTAAGTGCGAATACGCAACAAATTCATTTGCCCGTCAGAAAACACAGAGTACGTCAGGTTAAGACACGCATAATTTTAATCAGGCTTTGAAGAAGCTATGTAGTGGGCTTATGCAAAAGACCTGGTGTTTTCTGTCTGTTCTGTACTATTTCATTATTAGAGGGGTCGCCAACTCGAATTTTTAGGGAACAAAGTGTTCAGCCTTAAATGCATAGACTATACTCCGGCTGTACTTATTTCTGAGTATACAACAAAATTATACCCGAGATCGCTCGCAGGACACGTAGTACCCGGGGAACATGCGGAGTACGCAAGGGGGTCATTGCCTTTTTTTATTATTTTATTTGAGACCTTTCTTTCACTCGTTATTTTATCCTTGCTACTCCAATATAACTATTTTAGATGAGTGAAGACCGACTTTGGTGCTAAAACTACTGACTCGACTGTTAAAATGATGAAAAAAGTCGGTGAACTTAATATAATACCTCAGATACTGAAAGCACAGTTATATAAGCTGCGTTTTGAATATTACCAAATATTACCTAAAATTACCGTGATTTACGGTAATTTACGGAAAATTACCGAGAAATTTTATATTACCGGTAATTTTAAATCCCTAATGGCGAATCGTCGGTTTTTCGACGGTTTCCTGACATCAGGCGATTATGAAATAGGCAGTTACGACTTACCTGAGCATGCGTCAGTGTTCTTTGGAGTTCCTCTTCTCTCATCGTTGCTGTCTCTAACACCCGTTGAAAGGTGTCGGCGACATTAGGAAGCAAACTCATCAAATTGCTGGCGACTGAACCCTGCAGTTTAAGTGTGCGCTGCAACAGGAATAGCACTGATTCCCAGAAGACCTTCCTACTTCGAAGAATCCACAATAATGGGTCAATAGAAAACCACAATTTCGCTTGTTTGGCTTTATCTCTAACGTTTAGGCGCAAGAGGGCGATTTCCACACGAGAACCACCCCAAAACATTTTAATGTTTTTACTTAGATGTTTGTCAAATTGATGGTCTCAGGTAGGGTAACTCGTCAAAATTAAACCCCGAGGAGCAAAATTTGTGAGTTTTGGGGCCGAAGGTCTATTTACGACCGTGCCTTTCGCCCGACTCGGGCATCTGCGCCGCAGGCCTAGGTAGATGTGTGCCAGGCGCGTCGCAGCGTGTGCTTCGAGAAATATCGTGAAGCCTGTTACGCGAGACGTGCTCTAAGGTATATCTACCTAGTATTATCATTGTTAACGGCTCACGTTTACTCATTCCGTAGAAAAATCGCGAAGCACATATTCCTATAGTTCAACAGTTAAAACTGCACAACTGCATAGAGCCAGTTTGACAGTTCAAACTGTTGAACTACACAGTTTTGCAGTAAAACTGTGGAACTTTTCAGTTTAACAATTTAAACTGAAAGACTTACTTTTAGTTTCGCAGTTTGAACTGTCGAGTTTCAAGCTTTTATACAGTTACATTCGCAGAGACACCGCTATCCCTAAAGCAACAAGTCCATTTATGCATTAACTGGCTGGTCGCCCAATAAAGATGACGTCCGCTCGTTAAATGTAAGCCGTTTCTTGAATTAGCATAAAAACCGAAACTATTAAATCATATAACTAAGTTACTGAAATAGAAAAGGAGCGAATGACAACGGCCCCTATTATGGAGGAACCCTATTGAAGCATTCGCTCTAGCCGACCCTAACGAGAACGGGATCGTCTGAGAGACTTTACCATACTCACACGAACAACTTCCAGCATAGGTCCTACTTCGGTCTTGCGTGCTTTTTCAAGACTGCAAATATCGTGCTCATCCTCACAGGTTGGTTGTGCGGTAGCCTTGCATGTAATGCAATAGAACCTAATGAGATGCGGGAGAATTATTTGTTACACAGCGTATGGCATTATAGAGAGTTTTTGTTGGAGGTTGAACTTGTACGACACACTTTGTTAATGGCAAATTACAAATAATGTCGTACATGTATAACCACTCTGCACTGTAAGAAAAACCTACGGTTTAACAACGGTCTTGGACCGTCAATTATTAACCAATTGAAAACCGTTCTTGGAAACCGTACCTGGTACGGTGAATGGACCGTATGAATTGGGCTTTTATATGCACTGGAAATCCAAATAACATTCACTTTAGAAGTGAGCGAATAAGATTTCGCACACATTGGATGAGATTAGGATGTAAATGATCATTTTGTGACAATTAAAGTTGAGCGGGTGACTATTTTCTCTGTTTGAGCTCCAGAACATATCTCACACATTGCATTATAGTACAGCTCTCTTACCCACTGCTTATAATAAGTCAGGTGGCTACGCTGTGTTCTTGCTCACAAATTATTTACCAACGCCTGAATAAGTCTGTTACGTGTGCAAATTGCCAGGCACCATATGAATAATGTTTGCTGTGTTCCATAGTGTTGGTATATCAACGGTGCCCGGCCTCTGGCTCTGCGCGGCCAGCGCGGCTGGCCTCCACGACGCTCTGGGGCTGCGGCTGCTGGTTGTGACAGATGGAGCCGACAGCGAAGAACGTCCAGCACCTCCAGAACAGCCGGCCGCAGGTCGCGCCCCAGGGCCCAGCGTGGGGCACGAACGGCCAGAGCAACAGCGCAGTCTCGTCGGCCACGGCCAAGTCCGTACACAGGCTGAAGAA